TGCGAGTCTGCCAGTCAACACCTTCGAGAGTTATATGTAGAGTGGATTTCATTACCTTCAATTAATAAATAAGAACGTTACTATCAATCAACAATAAACATATATGCATTATCACAGAAAGAATGTCAACAGGCATTAAATATAAGCCAACAAACTCAGACCCATGGACTTAAAAAACAGATAAACATATATGAAAAGACATTAAAAAGAAATTTTAAATATATATTCATGCTTTCTGCAGTTAACTCTAACATGCCCTAATCCAGTGGCAAGCTGTCAATCTCAATAAAATGAGAATACATACATACAGTTTGGTAAATCTTTGCATCTTTACCAGGTCTTTTCATCCGAGTATGATTATTGAATATGAACTAGGGATAAGCATCAATAATATCCATAGGTGTGGCCAAACTATCAAAAAGAAAACAAGAATCAAGTTATCGTGTAATTTAATGAATATCGCCATGGTTTGTCTAAATCGAACTAATTTATCACAATGTGTGGTCTGCAGATAACAGACACATATCAAGGAGACTTTCGGATTCTGAAATAAATTGGGATATGTATTTACTAATTAGGCTAAATGAGCATCATACTGAAAACAGAACTTCAGTTCACCTTCTCGGAATATAAATCTGCCGACAAAAGCTCATTCGCGAGATCACAAACAACAAATTACCAAATAAAAAAGTACTGTTGGATGCAGAGAAAATACAGCCTAACCTGTTTTTTAAGAGAAGACAGTCATCAAACAGAAAATGCACTACTCAGTCCAAAATTTCACAAAAGAAGAGAAGAATGCCTTCACAATGGCCAGGAGTGGATTTCTTTCAGGCTGGGAAGATTTCTTTGATGTCCCTTCCCAAGTTCCACTGTCCCACATGGGAAAACACATGAAAAGTAACTTCATCAAATGACAAAAAGAGGCTTTAACGTTAAAAGACAAACGTGTAGAGTGAGAGATAACTGCTGAGACTTACAGATTTATTCTGTTCAGTGTTGGATTCTTTCCATTGGGGTAACTGCTACTATCTTCATCACTAGCTTTGCTTTCCGCTAAAGTGGATTTTTCGGAAATCGCGCCTTTAGTTGAAACCTAACGGCGAAAATGATGACAAAACATTAGTAGAGAAACAGCAGACAAAATATCCTTAATTAAAAATTAATAACATGTGGGTCTCCATCAGAAACCTTGATGATGCCACTTTCCTTAACCTTAGAAAAATTAAAACGAAAAAATGTATATATATTAAAGGAACTCTGAGGAGTAAAAGAAAAGAAAAAAAAAAAAAAAGACATTAAGAATGACACCATATTCATTTTCACCTCCAACTCCTCTTACATAAGTTACCTTCGTAGTTTCATTGAGAAAGGCATCACCAGATACAAGCTCTGCTATCTCACCACCTTTATCAACCCCAACTGACACAGAACCTTCCAAAATCGAACTCTGAAGATTTACCGGTGTTTTCTCATCCATGTCATCAACCACCTTAGGCACCGGCCTTAATGGAAATGTCTCAACAACAACATTAGAGTTTACAAGAGAATTTACAGCTTCGAACATTTCCACATCTTGGGCTCGACATCTCTCTGTATCCAGAACCTCGATAGCAGCAGACTTTGCATTAATTCTTTCCACAAACTCTTCATTTTTATCAACTGCCTCGTCATTCTTATTATAGTGCTCATTAGTAAGTATTTCACTCCCATGTCCATTAACCTTCTGGCTAGAAGAAAGAGCACTATCATTATTATCTTCACGGTCGATATCTATTATGACTGGTTTATCAACATGTGAACTTTCCTCAAGTACCCCAACCCCATTCACAATCTTCTCATCATTATTTACCAGGTAATAATCAAGTCCGTGATGACTTTTGCTAGTTCTATCAATGCCTTCGTCATTTTCAGCCACCACGCTTGATCCTTTTATTTGTTCATTATCCAACTCGAAGGGGAAAGATCCATTTAACTGCTCATTGGAAGTATAAATGTTTTCTTCATTCGAAATTTGATTACCTGGTCCTGGGGGCACAATATGAGTCACCACATCAATGCTACCTGATACGGATGACTCGATTTGAGTTTCCATAGAAATGGATCCTAGCGGGTGTTGTTCCAGAAATTCTTGATTGTTAGGTTCTTCTGAAGAGAATTTGGGTGGACCCAACACTCTATTTTCTTGAATAATCTCTCGAACAATCTCTCGAACTGTGTAGAAGGATCCACCAACTTCTTTGTGCGCAAGATTGAGGGACGGAAAATTTCCATTGTTTAATTTCTGATATCTGAAAGCAATCAAAGTTAATGTATTAAATTATTTATGTGCCTTTGCCACAACGAGAAATTTGGGATTGGAGACGGACAGTAAAAATAAAAAAGAAAAAAAGGAATAAAGATAAGTATATTCCAATATAGCTAATAACATCTGCGAGTAAGAAACAGGTAATTTTACTAGCTTAAGCCTTAAACTACATTATGATTCTATCAAGTGCTTTATATTGTACGCTTGTAGCTAATGAATATAATAACAGTCATAGCAGTTGCTTAAATTTAAGGTCATAACATTTTCTTCAAACGGGAAAAAAAGGCTGGAAATAAGTACGAGACTTCAAATGAACATGTTAAGAATGACCAGATCATACTGGAATTACAGAAAAGGCCATAAGACAGAGTTCGGATTATTTGAACGACAAGGTGACATGAATATGCAGAAGTAAGAGTATTACAGGCTAAGCATAATAAACAAAGTAACAAGCACATTGAATGAGAGTCTACAACCAACATAGAGGTTAGACAGATTACAATAAGAACATAGAATACCATCCAACACTATCTATCCACAGAACATTGAAATAGAAATGCTACAGGTCGAGAATCAGACAGATTTACTTTCTCACAAATTTCTGCTTTTACAATGCAGGGGTACAACATAAAAAGGAAGAAAAAGATGAGAATTGGTAGTGAGTAATGACATTACTTCTTAATGAAAGATTCAGCCAATGCCTTCCGTTCTTCTTTTGACCGTCGAATTCTTGATTTCTTCCCCACTGAGTCATTGCTGTTAGCTAGGGCAAATGTTCGTCCAGCCCAGCTACCCTTAGTTGCATACATGACTTAGTCAATCGCTTGAAAAGGCCAAAACTCCAAATCTATTTTTTTAGCCAAAGAAAACATACCAAAAAAAAAAAAAAAGTAAATATACAAGGTGACATGTTTGAAAGCATAAGCTCCATTTCCAGAATAGCGGTATATAATCTTAAATAACATACACATTCCGTATGCGCACATAACACATTCCAACATTCTCCCAACATTGTGATAAAATGGCCCTTTTAATAAATAGAACAACTTAAGAAAAAAATAAATCATCACATTTCATGTCAAATTTCAAGGATAAAGAAACCAAATTTTTCAGTACAACCCAATGACCAAAGAGCAGAGCCTATGACCAATGAACACCCTGTTTTATAAGCCTTACAAACGTACAATCTTTCTACATGAAGAAACATAAAATTTCACGAAGAACACTCAATGTCAGAACACAAGAGCATAGAAAGCATACACTGTTTTGCCTTCAAAAACACCATTGTTCGAAACATATCAAAACTCGGTTCTTGCTATAAACCATTTGAAAAAATAATGTAGGAAGCGCAATTCATTTCAATATAACAAAACAAAATTGGATAGAAGTGAGCAAGAAAGAGGCGAATGAGAGGGAATTGAAAGATGAAGATAGCTTTACCTGGGCAGGTTGATTGAGAGAGGGAGTGCAGTGCAGTGCAGTGCAGTTGGGGTTTGGACTGTGAGTGTGGATTTTGGGTGTAGACGATGATGATAAACCCTATTTTTTCTATATTATTAGTCACCAATGGGAATTCTCGATTTTTTTTTTTATTTTTATTTTTTTTTCTGCAAATAATTCTCGAAATTTTAATGTGACAAAACAATTTTATTGGTATGATATTCTTAAACTCTTATTAGTTACAATTTATTTTTTACATAAGAAAAAAATAATAATTACAAAATTAAATTTTTTTCTTTCTAGTTTATCATGTTTATTGTATTTTTTAACTTTATAATATTTGATGAATTTAATTTCTATAATTTATGAAATGTAATACAATTTTTTTTCGACAAGTAAGATATTTGGCTTGTATCATCAAATCTATGTAGATACTTTTTTTAAGTTGCACATATGTCTAATTTCATTTTTTTTTTTTTATCTAAATTGATAATTTCCCTTCTACAATTAAAGACTCTATCTTGACACATGATAATTTTTCATTTACGTAACGATGAATTTTGAATCGAACATGAAAATAAATTTAGGAGTTTCAAAGTTCATGACGAGAAGAACAAAATGATATACGATTTTCCGATTTCTTGTAATTTATTCTTTGGTAATTCATTAACAAATAAGGCAGTGTATATAGAAAAAACCTCGTATTAATTTTTTCGATAATCAAGATATTCGATTGTCAATTGAAATGTTCATTGAAAAACTACAACATAAGCTTTATAACAATGTAGATGTTACGAAAAACCAAAGGTGAATTTTTTTTAGTATCCCAAACAAAAATATTTGTTAATTTGTTTAGCTACTTATAAACAAAAATTCCGGCCTTAGATTTTAATAAGACATTGATCAGTATAATAACTATTGCAAGCTTTCAAACTTGACCAATACATATATTGTTACAAATTAAATTATTATACAAACATATAATGAATTTTATTTATATTCCTTAATTTTATTGTATTGTTATAATTGTACCACTATTTTAATCAATTATAATATTTTTTTTTATAATTTAACCATTATACCATATTTATTAGTATTCAAAAACTTTTGCATTGATGCGAGATTGTATTTATATTGTACAACAATACATACCATGCATGTAGTACCTTTTTTTTTTGTGTATTTGAATGATCATTGATATAGTGTAGTAAAGTTATTTTCACAAGTTTTTTGCTT